GTTTAAGACAGTAAGAATGTAACAGCAGTTCCTGAAATGCACCAACTTTTCCAGCACAGAGCAATAGCTGTGTGCCCTCTTCCAGGCTTTAGCTGTTATTGCAGTATTGCCCTCTGCATCGTCTGCACCAGCTCATCACCTACTTCAGTTCTGACTTAAAGCTGGCAAAACAGGTTTTAAAAGATGAAGGAAACTGAAGAAGCTTTCCACACTGCTTCAGACCCCCTCCCCCCAGCACTGAAGACAGAGGTCTCCCATGATTGCTGCAGTTTGCATTTGGATTTGACTTACATAGATTGGCCATTTCCTGCTCCTGCAGGTGTATATATTTATCCAAGATCTGGAGAAAACACTGCTTTTATTAACTCACATAAATACTTACACTAGTTCTTAAATACTCAAAGAAAATAAAGTCACCCACTAATTAATCTATTTTTCTGGACTGGAGAAGATCCCACAGTGCTAGTGGGCAAGGCAGGATGGGAGATGGGAGAGAGAAAACATGCAGCAGAACGTTTCTATATTTTGACAACAGCTATTAATGTATTACAAAGAGCACATTGTCAAGCTATTTAGGTTGCAACTTTTAACTTGCCCTTTAAAATTCCTTTGTAACAAAAAGGAAATAAGTTTAGCCCAGCTGCAACATTATTCCTTTCTTCCAGGCTTTAAATAAAGAACCACCTTGCAATGAGCTCTCGGGCTCTCCAATTTCTCCAGTCCAAGGTGGTCCAGAAGGCAGGCACTGGCTGAAGGCTCACAGCACCCTCTTCTATTTCTGGCTCTGACACTGACCTGCTGCACAGAGGGCAGCTTGGTTCACATCTCTGTGCCTCGCTGCCCTCCCAGCCCTTGTTTACTCTGTCTATTTAGGCAGCAAGCTCTTCAGGGCAGAGACTGCTCTTGCTGGGCCTGTACAACAGCTGGCAAAACAGACACAGGCTACCAGACACAACTGTAAAATCACTATACTCACCAGAAACCCCAGAGGCTTTGTGCTACTGCTCAGCTATGGTTTAGCTGCAAAAAGAATTATTAAGCCATATTCTTCTGTGAAACGCTGCCATGCATTTTTTGGAAGAAAAATGCTCCATTCACCTTACGTCATAAAGACAGGTCTTGACTTCTGCCTGAGCAGCTCCTGTGACTGAGTGAAGCAAAACTCCTCTGTGTGGGGACTATCTTTTTACCATGCCCACAACAAGGCCTTATTGCAGTACAGTCCTAAGCATAAAATTAACATGGCTACACAGAGCAAAAGGCAGCCTGACATAGAGACAGGCGCCAAGAACCGCATACATCTAAACCCGCTGCAGATTTCCAAAACAGTAACACAATATCCTATTAAGCATTTACTTACTACTGATTCAAAGAAGAAAAAGTATGTTTTTAACACCAAGAATGTACTTAAGAACCTTTCCAAGTCAGGCCCTGCTATCCCTAATATACACTCACTCAAGTGATGCAGATCTAGCGATTCCCCTGCTGAGGAACGAAGATGATGGAAACATGGCACGAAGCAAACTTCTTTCTTCTTTGTACGTGCATGATTAAAACAACACCTTAAATACTTAACTTCACTGCACACACAGCTCCTCATTAGCTGAATCTATCAGAAAGGGCAAATAGGAGAGGCTTGTCAATGATGTGAAAATGCTTTTCAACATAACAACTCATGCCTAGGATTAAGTTCATATCTTCTTTTGACAACATTAGCCAATCAATTGAACACTGTTTAAGCCTGAGTATATGTGCTGAGATAAAAATAGCTGGTAAAAGTGGATAGCCAAGATGGGAAGAGGGTAATTTTAAAAGTTAAGTCAAATTGTTTTAGGTACTACATTTTTTCTCTCCCTTGCTGCTCTACAGCTAGGGTTTTGCAACCAGTTTCTAATGAATATTCTCTCTTCACTAATTGGGCATGAAAAATTCTTATAAGCAAGCTCACTGTGCGAACATTTGTTCCACATACAAGCTAAAGCCTGTTCCCTCAGATCTTCTTGTTACAATTACCTGAAGATATACCTAACAGAAACAACATTTTAAAGAAACGGTGTCATTTTCAAGTTAATCAGCCTTTAAAAAGTGGGAAAGTGGAGGAGGGGGGATAAGTTTCACAGCTATCTTACACTCTAAGCTCAAATTTATCTCTATTTACAAAGCATTAACAGATGGCTTATCAAAAGCCATTTAACAGTAGAAATGATCAAACTAGTTCTGAAATGTTCTTTTGTTTTAAGCAGTAAGAACTCCCTAGACTAGTTTTTAACTTATGCCAGCCTCTCAGGGACCATCAGTTTAAGATCTAATGTTAGAACCATGCACGTTATTTCATTAAGTACATTTACCACAAACGGTTCCAGCCTTTGCTTTCTCAATTGCAGACAGAATTGCACAAATACCTCTTGAAAGTAAAAAACAGTGTTCACCTCATGCAATGTTACCCAGAACGTGCAACAGAAGCCCCAGCTCTCGAGCAAGCCAAGCATGACATACTCGAGGTTATGATTAAGAAAGTCTTAATCATACAGAGTATGATTAAGAAAGCACAGTCATCAAGAAGGTTCAACTACCCATCATCTTCACCATCATTCTATTTACCTAATGATATTCTAGCTTAAACACCTGCTCAGCTCAAATTTAATCTCCAATGAGCAACCTACTGATTTCTGACCCAGAATTACTGTCAGGAAGAAAGGCAATGTGCCTAGAAGCTTACCTAACTCTCCTCCCCAGCTTGTGTTGCCTGGTCAAATAAAATAGAACCTTTCTTCCCAAATCTTCACCCTTCAATTGCAATAAGAGCAATACTGGAGATTGCTCTTGATCTTGGAGACATGCATGAGGCACAGGCAGTATAAAAAAGACATGGCTATCTAAAACCCTCAAGCTGCCACACAGGCTATTAAACTCTTCATCAAGTACAAACTTTATAACTGTACCACAACCCAACATATGCATTCACTGTGATTCTTTTGGAGATGTACAGATACCCAGACCCCTTCACACACCAAAGTACGCCCTTGTCTTTTATCTGTTGCCAGAACTGTCAAACTCACTGGAGCAAGACTCTTGAAACTGCCCCCAGATGCTGGATGTCCACACAGGGAATACAAGCGTTTGGCTTTCAGGTACTGCCCAAAAGAACTGGCACACTGTCTATCTCAAAGAACTGAAGATTGCGTGAGTCTTTCATGAAGTTAAAATTAACTACAGTATTCATTCTCTGGGATATCTCAAGGATCCTTCATGACCAGACTGTAGTTCCACAGTGCACTACTGGTGATTGAACTCCCTCGGATGTGGGCAGAACCGACCAATGCTAAAAGCAGCGCTCTGTACTAGAGTTTAAAGAAAATTTGAAAATAGGGCCCAACACAAAAGCACATCCTCGAATAACTAACAAAACAAAACAAAAAAACTAAGCAAAGCAACTCCCTGTTCCCATAGTGAGTCTAACGGCACTGAAATCCCTGGGAGCTCATGATACATAAGTACCCTTCCCTTCACTTAAACCCTCTGACCTAACAAACTTCTTCTGTAGCTGTTTATAGACCCACATTCCTCTGCAGGGGGAAGTGGTGGTCCTTACATGTGCTGCACCTGCTCTGCTGTACACCTGATCCCTCCAGCAACCAAAGCAGCATAGTATCACCTTATTCTTAATGAAAAATACAGAACTTCATTTCCTCAGGAGACAAAATCATATATCATGGTGGACAGAGTCCTACGCACAGCCATTCTGCAGCACTTACTCCTGCTTACCTCCTAGGGAACTGTGGTTAACTTCCCAAGCCTGGTCTTTGGCTGCAGCGTCCATTGGCTACAGGCCTAAATCTACAAAAACTGAATGGGTTAAAATCCTGGCCTGAAAACCCAACAGAGATTTTCAGCACCACTGAAGTCCTGCTCCAAAGAGCAGGGGCCACAGCTGCTTCTCTATGCCTGTGTTACTGACAAGATAGCTCTACGAGACATTGAAACAGGCCTCAGACATCCTTTACGATTAACGTCAACAGCGTTTAGGGCAACAATACTGCATTCTGGATAAGAAACAAAGTTCCAGATCTCAGGCTGGCAGCTATAGGGAAACCCAGGAAGCGATTCGTAGACCCTTAAGCACACAAACTCCCCTTTGGGTTCCCTGAGGTAGCAACGGAAGCCCACGAGGTGCAGCTGCCTCTGAGCGGCATTCTGCATGCCAGCAAATGGAGACCTAACGCAACCTGTGGGTTCTTACCAAGTGCCATCAAGGCCCAAAGCCCACAAGCATCTCCAGAAAGATGTTGGTGTCACACACAGCAAGCTACCGAGCCTTGTGCTTCTAATAGCACATCTGGGCTCGTTCTCCAGGCCTTTCCTCAGCTGCCAGTTCAGATTCTGCTCCCTCTCAGCCACTTTTCCAAGGTCTTTGAGGCCTCGGCAGGTACAGGCAAGGCAGTGCGGCTCAGGAGCTGTGAGGGAGAGCCCAGCTCCCCCGGCTCAGAGCTCTGGAGCTCAGACACCGCTTGTGCCTGGGGGGTCTCTAGGGAACCGAGCTCATCCGGAGAGGCCCCTGAGCTCCAGTATCTGCGGGCAGCTCCTGCCGGGCCTGGCGTTTAGCGAGCCCTCGCCGCGCTCTCGCGGCAGCAGGCAGCGCTTCCCCACACACGGCAGCCCTGCTGGCACATCCAGGCCCAGAGCCCGCCGCCGCTCGCAGTCCCTCCCCTGGCAGGGCGGCCCCGCCGCTTCCCCCGCGCTCGCCGCCCCTCTCGGAGCAGAGACGGCGCAGCCGCGCTTCGAGAATAGCGCCCCTCTTCCCTCCGCCCCCTTACGGCAGCGGGGAGCCCCCTTAGCGACTACGCCAGGAGCGCAGCACGCCCCTTAGCAACCAGCTAGGCCGCAGCATCCCCGGCCTTTCCTAGCCGCCGCGGCCGCCTCCCCCCCGCCCTTCCGCCGCGGAGGCCGAGCTTACAGGTCGGTGCCGAGCTGGGTGAAGCCGGAATTGAGGCACCCGCGGGCTATGCGCTTCCAGAGGAGATCGCGGCTACTGAGGAAGCGCAGGCGGCGGCAGACCTGGCCCAGGCGGCCCAAGGCCTGCACGTCCAGGTAGGAGCAGATGAGGAGCAGCAGCTCCTCGGGTAAGGCCCAGAGCGGGGAGGAGGGGGGGGAGCAGGAAGCGGAGGAGGGGGGGGAGGCGGCCCGGGATCCCCCCTCCGCCCGGGGGGATCGGGGGCTGCTCTTCCTCCCCATGGAGCAGCAGCTCCTGCCCCTCCTCCCCGGGAGCCGGAGCTGCTGCTGCCCGGGGGAGGCCCAGCCATGGACGGGGGCAGCCGCTCCCCAGTCACATGGGGCAGGAGCCGCTGCCTGTCACTGCCCCCCTCCGGGGGAGGAGGCGGCGGCGGCCGGGGGGGGGACACCGTCGTTAGGAAATTAATTCATTAACGGGAGGCACCGGGGAGACCCTCACCTCGTCCGCCACGAAACAACCCCCCGGCCCGCGCGTGGGTTATTCTTCTTTATTGCTGAGATTAATAGCATCACCTTATCGACGCATTCGTTAATAACGTGAATAATTAACGGCCAGAATGTGATCGTGAGTAACCGGAGCATCTGCTCCACCACCTGGCTGGGCGCTGCACTCCTGCTAAGGAAGGTGAACAGCAAGGTGGTTGCTGCTCATTAATTACCCTTGAGCAGAGTCAGGAGTTCTTGTCACCCACCAGATGACAGCAGGGGTCGTCTGGTGTTACGCTGCAGTTCCGGACTCCTAGATTCCCTAATCCACTTAAAATAAAGGGTCTTCCTTATGACAGAAAGGCCCCTGCTGCAGAGGACTTAAGGCTGGCTGGTCAATCAGACCCTTTGGTACCATCTATTCCGTGGAGCAGGGGTTGAAAAAGTGCTCACGCTTCGTACATGTATGTGCATACATGTATGTGCACCACTGCAAAGAACAGTTCATAATAACTGAGTCATTGTTGCCATCCACAGGAGCCTGGAGTACTGACAACACAGGAGGATCCTGGTCCAAAATGGCAAAGTAGCCCTCCACAGACAGTGGAGCAGGAAAATATGAGTACAGTGTTGTTTTATTCTTTCTTACAGTATTTTCCACTCTACAGAAACCTGAAATGCTTAAGGAAACTTCTGCCTCGGAATTAAAAGATACATAAATTATGAAAAGTAAATCATCTACCTAGAATTCTTTGTACAGGCATCATTTACCAACCTCAAACTACAGGCCCTTTGCACTGTAGAGTTGGAAAATAAATTTCAGCATTTAATGAGGTTACCATAGCAGACAGGCCTTTTAGACACTTACTTGCATCCTGCTCCAGAAGGTCATCTCATCTGTTTAATCTCAAGCACTCAAATATTCATTTATCTAAATCAGCTCTGGAGGCCTTGTATTTGAAAGGTTCAAAACTGCCAGCTGAGGAGCTGTCTGGTCCATTTACACCGAGTTTCAATGCACTCTGGAAGTCAAGGAGATTCTAAAGGATCAGAAGACAGCAAATATTTTATCAACATTTATAATGAGTGAATCAGATGGCCAGAGTAATTAAAAATTTCACCACCTCAGATTAAGTTCAGGTAAAATAACAGCACATCTGGTACAGGACTGAAGCGGCCAGTTGAAAGGGAGGTAATATAACAAACGTTACTTAACAAAAGGTTATGGAGAATTGATGTGAATTCTGTGTCTTTTTGATGACATTAATCTTAAACATGTAACTATAATTAGCTCTTTTGTAATAGACTTTGGCAGTCTGAAACATTAAATTTATTAAAAGCTGACTGACTCCTCTGTCGTAAATTGTCATTATAAAGAGAAGTTTATTATCAAGTTGGTCTTTCTCCGGTGGGATTCCACAGACACAGCATATGGATCCTACATTATTTGATGTTTTTATCAGTGACCTGAAAAAAAAAAATCTGAAATCATTATTAGCGAAGTTTTTAGAAGGCATAAAGCCTCGGGGAAGAGGCCAAGGGTGCTCATGGCTGCGTAACCTTATGTTATGTTTAGGCATAATCAAATCGTACGTATTTCAGTCAAGTCAAATGTAAAGTCTCACATCCAGGAACAAAGAATGTAGGTCACACTGAAAGGATGTAACTCTATCCTGCAAAGCTGCAATTCCGTAAAGACTTCATTAAGATGAATAATCAGCTAAACGTGAGCTGCTTCTGCAGTGCTGTGACCAAAGGGCTGGGAAACAAACAAGAGCCAGGAGGCTGTTTTACTTCTGGTTTTGACTCTGTTGTGACGGCTTTGGAAATAATTTGTCCAGCCAACATTTCAAAAAGGATGTTGAAAAACTAGCGGGTTTTCAAAGAAGAGCAGTAAGAACGATTGCAGGGCTGTCAAACATGTTTTATAGTGAGAACCAAAGTGCTCAGTCTGTTTAGCTTTCTAAAAAGGTTAAGGTGTGAGGGGATCATACCTTATGGGCACTGAAACAGGAAATAAAGTCTGGTGATACCAGGATCTTCAGTTTAGCAGACAAAGTGATAAGATCACTTAACAGAAGGTGATGGGAAAAAAATTTATAAATATATTTTTTAGGGAAGCTATTTTAAACGATATCAGATTTTTTTCCCCCTTGAGCAAGACTGACAACTCAATCTTTAAGTCGGGAATTGATCTAGTGACTCCTAACTTAGTAGATCAGATCAGACAGTCAGAGGGGCCCCTACTCATTTTAGGTTCTATTAATATGCAAGTGCTTCATCTGCCACGTCTGACATCTCCTTGCACACTATGACACCCTTATTCCAGTGTACAGGAGCTTTGTTTGTGCCTAAATCCTTCACCAAGGGGCATGTTGGAAGGAGACTGTTCAAAGTGCTACATGCAATGTAGCATGTGGCAATAGAAGAACCAAAATATTGAGAAGTACATCTACAGAAGTAGGGTCTGACTTAACACTTTCCAGTTTGTGTCCCAAGATATAAGTAACTATGAAAGATTTGGCTAAGATGAAATACGTTTACAAGCAGTGATCATACAGAAGGTCAAATATCATCCAAATAGGTGTCACAAAAAATGTTATGAAGAAGCCAATGATATGTTGCTCTTGAAAGTAATACTGTTTTGTAGTGTGGATAGTTGCCTTACAACAATAATTTACCACAAACACTATGATCTGTTACTTTCTTTCTCTGCAAGAGGAACAGACCTCCAAGCACATAGACTATTCAGATGCGGTTTCAGCTGATGTGACTGCTGTGGAGCTGTCAGTGCTGCACATCACAGGCTGAGATGGCCCTTGTCTTCTCAGCAGTGCTGAACAAAGGGCATAGGTAGCCGTCTGCAAGAGCAAGAAGCAAAGAAGTTTTGGAAGCATTTCTAAAACTGACGTGTAACATGATTATTTCCATAAAATGGTCATACTCTAATAATGAAGTCAGTGCAGGTGCCCAGTGCAGGATAAGTCAATAAATAACACAGCCTTCACAAATCTTACAAAGATTCCAGTCCTTTCATGGCTCATGACCTCCCTGAACCTCTAGAAAATAGAGTGTGGTTCTGTGCTGAAGCAGCAGATCATTCCAGCATCATAGCTTGCAGGATTTGTAAACTGAAAATGAGGGCTGACACCTGTAAAGCTTATGCTTCAACAGTGCAAGTCAATGAAATCCAGCTTGGAAGAAATTCCATTTCAATACCTGCCTGTCTTTTCTTCCTTTTTTCTTTTCCTGTCTTCAAGGGTTTTATTCTTCTTTGCAGTGCCCTCAAATACACCTTTCCAGCTAAAGACACAATCATGTGGACAGCTCTTTGTTTTGTTTTTCCTTCCAACCAATGCTTTTGTGTATTTCTGAAATTTAAGACACCTCCTCTGCTACTACAGTACTTATCTGTAACACCATCGCTTTGAGGGATTAAAGCAGGTTACTTGTTACACACTTAGATCAAGAGTTATCTGAGTAGAAAGTCTATCCCGTTCAGGTTGGCGGAATCTGTTTTTGATCTTGAGTTGTTTTGATTTTCTCTGAGAGCAAGTAACATGTTATTTTAACTTCTGAATAAGGTGTGCTACCTGACTGTGTCTCTTCTGTTTGGCAGAAAGGATTAGAAACCTCCACGGAACTTGCACTCTATTAAAGCAGAGTGCTCGCCATTGAGAACCAAGGAGCTGAATTGTTTTCAGATTATATGTGTGTGTGTCTTTCCCACATCAAAGACTTTGATGGAAGCTGTTCACGCTATTGTCAGGAATGCAGGGATTGGCACAAAGGTGATTAGCAGAATTGCTTTTCTGCAGTAGAAGCACAAAAAATATCAAAGGATTAAAGAGGATAAAATTAAAAGGTTATGCCGAATTTAAGAGTGAATTTTCTTCTTTTTTTCCTCCAGCTTGTATGTATTGATTTGGTTTTAAAAGGGCTGCCAGAAGAAATCAGAACTAGAAACTATTTGGTGTGAGTTCTGTAAAAAGACGAGGAAAAATCTTCCCTGAAAAATAATCCCAACAGACCCTATTCTGTGTAGTTCCAAACCACAGCTACAAGGAGCTCTTAGTGAGAGCGAAGGGCACGCAGCCAGCAGCCATCCCTACGAGGTACTTAGCAGCCACAGGATCGGGACCTTTATTCATACCCATGCTGAAAATTATGGAAACAAACAATTCCATAAATCAGTTTGTCAGCGGTGATGTTGTTTGTTTACTTTTCTCACTGCACTCTGCTGACAAAGATACTAAACCAAGGGGGTCACTCTCATTATCCACTTACCAGGCACATGCAACGCTTTTGTATTTTCATCAGCAGCTAAACTGCTTGAATGGCTTGAAAAATAAGACAATAAAAATGGACTGTCAAATATTTTCATGTATCAACAGTTGACTATTATGGAAGTTCTCTTAAATTGTAGTGCAGTTAAAAACAAAAAACAAAAAAAAAACAAAGTATCACCTCCCTAAGCCAGCAGAATTGCCTCATTTTGCTGGTTTAGACTCTGTTTATTGTTCGCTTTATTTTGAACAGTCTTCTATCAGCTTTTTTTAAGTGCCAACCCTGCACCTATTTCTTGTCATTGCATTTTGAGTTTGGTTTGTTTGTTTTGCCAGCCTGTTATTTTCTGAAAGTCACCCGGATTATTTTATTTGTTTTTAACCTCATTTATCAAAGTATTATCTAAAGCATCTGTTCGGAAAATGTTCATTTTAACTGTTTTCCCAACAATGACCTTCTTCCTACCCCTGAGGCCACATCAAGTTGTCACTCACCAGACAGCTGTGGAATTTGGAATCATTCCTTTTAAATGCTTTACAATTCCAAATGGTAGATTTGTAATGGCACAATATGATTGCCACAAAGATCTTTAAATTTCCCAATCCTCCCGGCTTCAAAGGCTGGACCGTCCTTGATCTCCTGAAGGAATGCTTTTGAATCTTGTGCTTTTATAGGGGCTACCTATGAAGATATTTTAGGGGCTTTTTCCTTTCATACTTAGAATCTAAAGAACTAAACATCCAAATTCCCATTGGCTTCTTTGAGAGTAAGAACAAGACTTACAAAGTTGTTTCTAGCAATTTTAAGCTCAGTTTTCATTAATTCCACGGGTCATTCCAAAACATTTTGGAGTGTTCAGTGAGCAGTCTAAGAGTAACCTCGCTGTAACAGTGGCAATGATACTGTTTTATTCTGCATGTTCCTTCCACCTACATGGCTTCACCCAGACCCTGACCATGGGTAAGCCTGGTGGTATCCCAGCTCTTTGTGCCGACGGTCACAGAGTGGTCCCTTGGAGGGTGTTCTGCTACCATATCTGAAGCTTTGCTTATGGAGTAAGATAAGGAAAGTGGGTGAGCCTAATCCTACAAGCAGCTTTGGGTCTGCCTGGACCAGACGACGAAGACAGAGTCTAATTACTTGCAGCAATTACAAATTTGCAGAATTACAGGACGCAGCCTCTGCTGTGGCCACAGACCCTCAGATCCCATTGTAAGCAGCACTGCTGTAAGTGTAAGTTTGGGTATCCCATATTGCTAATGCTCACAATTTCCAAACAGTCCACAGCCTAACCTCAGGTTCTGTGACAACAAACTGCGGGAGCAACTAATTACTAACCCAGTTTATGGGTCAGGGAACAAGCTTAGATCCTCATTTACACAGGTTTCTTATGATCATGTAAGCCCTACCTCTCCACCACTATTTTTGTTTGTTTATTTAGATCAGTTTAAAAAAAAATCC